TACATCTATTAGTGTTTAATGTTAATGTTTAATTATTGTTGTACATATATATCCTTCATGTAACATGTTTGCACATTTCCTCCTTTTGCACAATCTGAGTGTCTCTATCCATGCCAAACGTGACATGTAAATTTCTCCTATGTGAGATAAATAAAGCACATCTTATCTTATCTTAATTTACTTATTACATTTATTTTATTTTCCTTTTTTCTTTTTGTTTATGTCTTGTTTTATCTGCTCCCAAAGTCAAACACGTCATAGATCTAGGAGTCAGGCTGTAGAACGAGGACCGAAGCAATGCGCTGTTTCCACGGAGATGTTGCAACTGTAAAATGTTATATATTGTGTCCTTTCGTTTCCATGGAGACAGTGTTTCAGGGGAAAACTTTGAGAAACAGCCTCCAGAGAATAACAGAACATAGACACTGCAGCGGGGGTGGTTTTTTTTAACGAAAAAGGTGTGAATTCTCTGCTGGGAGGACCTCAGCACTTCCCCCACATACATTTGGACATGCGCAGTAGAATGTAAACAACAATGGCGGCGGGTCAACTAATGCTACGTGTGCTTTGCTAACGGAGGAGGATTCTACTCCTTCGTCCAAGCCAAACCACAGCTTCTGAGCAACTTGTGCTCAGAAGCGCATGGGATATACACATAGGTGGAAGTCACCTATAGGTGGAAGTCACCTATATTTGGGAATCGTCTGGTCCTCCCGGTTCTGCGCACTGGACAAGCTCCCAAATATGCTTGAGGAGCCAGTGTGAATTTAGTCTGCAGTACCTAGGGGCGCCCCCTGTGCCCATTAGTGAGACCCCATGCAGTTTTTTTACTATAGATCCATGGTTCTTTCCCGTCTTTACGGCGGTCTGAGGCAGATGTTTTTGAGGAAGAGCTTCTACTGCTGGGGTTCACGTGTGTTGTGTTGGTCCACTGCCCCCTACTGGCCGCAAGCTAGAACTACATGGTTTTCAGTCATGGTCTAGACGCTGTGCACTTGAAAAAGCTAGCCGGGACTTCTTTGCAAATAGCTCTAAACGGGGGCCTGAGGAGGCTTGTAAACTTCTCCATTGTGAAATCATCCCATCATCACGCCATGAAACAGACAATGGAACCACGGGTAAATAGCAATGAACAGACAACATCTTACGTCCTAGTGACGACAGATGAAGCAGTCGCATGTCCTGCAGAGTGTCTACTGTGCACATGTCTGCAGATGTTTGTAAAGCAACATGGCGGCGGTGGAAACAGTGAGGTCATCTGCACGTGTGTGAGCCGTGACCCACAGGGACCGGACACATGTGGAGATCATGTGACTCTGTACAGATGGAGATCAAGTAAATAAACAGAGGAATGAGGGATGACGACCTGACGGGTGTTTGGCCACGAATGACATGTGTTTGTTGAAACGTTTGAGAACAGACGCAAGAATGAAGCTGTGACATCACGGCCCAACATCACTTTAAACACGAAATATGATGTAAAATCAGCGTGTGTATAGATCCATCCACACTTGACTCCTTCTGTGTAAAAGTCTCTGTCTCAGTCCATAGATTATAAACAGGGACAATGTTAACACAAAGTTTTTCTCCAACTTGTTTTGGTGCCCATTGAAAAGTAAAGGCCTCTGAGGGACTACTTCTCAAACGAACTATCAAAATGTAACCAAACTAAAGACCAAGAAACTCAAAGAGTCTCTAGAATGCAGCATCTGTCTGTGGGAAAAATAACAAACGAATGTCCATCAAAATACAAAGTTGCTAGAAAACAACAAAAATGCTGAATTTTTGAATCCGTGGTCGAACAGCTAAAAACCCGGCCCCAGGACCATGAAGTGCCCTGTACTGCCCACAGTTATCCCATAGGTGCCACTAAACAACACCTAAACTATGTTGAACTAAATCCATTATAATTTAATCTACAAAAACTACAAAACCACAAAAAGACTAAATGACCAAATAGAAATATTAACGTTATCAAAATCAACTAAATATTGAAAAATATACAAAACAAGAAAACAAATCAATGAACTGAATTTAGCAAAACAAATGGCCTCAATCTCAGAAACTGTTTGTGTCACAGGAGTGCGCTCGCAGCTGTGCACTACCCTGAGTCATTTCCCAGAAAGATTCAGGTTGTTTCACATGAGATTTATTCAGATCAATTAAAGATATTGGAGGATTTTCTACCTTCGGGTGGATCATCAAGACTACTGGTCCTCCCAATCGATTCTTCTGGTGATAGTGCTCCTCAAAGAAGACCAGACAATCACTTGTATATCAGATAGTGCAGCTTTATTTACTGAAATGTAAGAACGAAAGAGCCAGATATTATTGATACTACTTTTCATCTTCCATGGGATGAAATGCAGATATTCTTCAGTATTGTCCCGAAATCATCGCAGCATTAAAATGCATTTGGCCAGTACGGGGATCGAACCCGCGACCTTGGCGTTATTAGCACCACGCTCTAACCAACTGAGCTAACCGGCCGATGTTAAGAGGGCGGGATCAGTATGATTCTGACATCAAGCTGTTCTAAAAGTGATTAAAATGGCTCATCTCCGTTAAGAGAGAAGGAGAAGGCTGCATTCGAAATCAGAAAATATTGGCCTCAACTGTTTCTTTACGAGTCGTCTTTGTAGACATTGCAGCACAGGTAGGCAAAAAAGTGACACTCAACACCATTTAACTATATATTTAATACTAGGTGGTTCAAACTATATCACTATATCATTAAAACGCAGAAGGAAGGACACTAGAGGTGGTATCTGATGAATTTGGACGCGAGCGGGGCCAAGGCCGTGACTAAATAGGTTTAGTCTAAATATATTTTCCCGTGTTTTCAGCTCTGTGCTCAGTAGGTAATATAATACATCCATGGGGGGTCAGACCTCGGACCACATTCACGTGTGAGAGCGTCCAGGGGCGTCTAAACACGGGACCACCTGCAGAGACACAGGACAAGGTGGTGCCAAGACCGGTTCTGGGACCGGTCATGGATCTATTCAGACTGCAGAGTAAATATATTATACATGTGCAAATAGCGTTGGCTACACATAGATACTGCACGTCGTCCCAAACCTGCCCTGGTGGTGGCGCTATAGACCACTGCAAACTAAGACAGTTTCTTCCATTCTGCCAAAAAGACACTCAGTAAAAAACAGACTAATTATACCACGTTTTAACTTCAAGGCCTTTTATTGTTGTTGGTTAATCCACTGTTGTTGTTTTAGATTTAAAGATTAAGAGATAATGTATTCATCCCACAGTGGGGAAATTCCAGTGTTGCATCAGTAGTAACAGAACAGTAGGAGTGAGGAGCACACAGGACAAGATAAATTAACAATAACTCTATACTAAAATAAAATAAAATCTCTTTCGCTTTACCACCGGGTGCTCCGGTTTCCCCTACCACTAAAAATATGTACAATAGGTCTGGCATGTGCCTCCTGTACTGGCCCCGCTTCCAAAAATAACAATTGTAAACCGCTTTGAGACTCCAATGTGCAGTGAAAAGGCGGTATATAAATAAAGCTTACTTACTACTATTTATTAACTATGATATGTGATTATTGATGGCAGAAGGTCCTGGGTTCAATTCCACCATCAGTCCTTTCTGAGTGGAGTTGGCATATTCTTCCTGTGTGAGTTTCCTCCAGGTGCTCCGGTTTCCCCTACCACTAAAACATGTGCCTCTGTATGACGCCCCCATCTCTGTAAAAGCGCTTCGTGACTGTGAAAGGTGCTATATAAAAAAAAACTTGTCCTGTTTTTAATTCCCAGTGTGATTTTATTTATTATTTGTTTATGATTCAATGCCTGATGTGACAGGGGGCTGTGAAGCAGTTTTTCTACAAATAAATATTGATTGATTGAATAAAGTGATTATACTTTGATGCCAAATGATAAATACAAAGCCATAGTTGTTTTAAAACACAGACACGTCGACTCAGTCTTGAAATAACGTCAGAAGTCGAAGTCCTAATAAGCGGCTGAAGAATGAACCAACAGATATTTGTCACTTTGGTTTGTGTGGAGCTGCTCTGTGGATCAAAGTGGCCCAAACCGAATCATAACAGGAAGCAGCAAAGACCCAGACCATAAAAGTCTGATTCTTTGTAGCAGTCAGAGCCCAGATGGAGCCCAGATTATCCCCGAACGCACCACGATGGAATCCAAACCGGATTTATTGTAATCAAATGGATGCTGCTTAAAAAGACAAAATAAACGACAGATTTCCATTTACACACAGTCCTTTAAGAAGAGATGAGAAATTGTGAAAAGAAACAATATAGCACTGCATTTATGATAGAAATTGGACACATCTCTATCGGATGTTTATGTGAATAGCAGAAAAAGACAAGAGAGAATACAAGACACCAACATTGATTTGGGCTGTTTTCAGAGCACTTTATGGATTATTTTGACTCCATTCCTGTGTAGTGGCTTTAGGACACAGCTTTGTCCATCACCAGTGCCTCAAAAAACCTCATTAAATATTTAAGCGAGGCCACCACCAACCTTTCATATACACACTAGACTCATTCTAATGTGGGGGAAGTGTCTTGCCTAGGGTGTGCAAAGAGATATCCCGTCTCAATACTAACCAGGCACTAACCTACTCACCCCAAAATCGAAAACGAATAAACACAGACAATTTAAATTTGTAAGAAACAGCAAAATATTTATTAACATTCTAAACAGAAACGTCCAAAATGAGGTCTGACTTTAGCGACGTTGGCTCAGACAGAGGGGCTTCGCATCCAAATAATTACCGATTGGTGGGACGATAAAAACACTTTGAAATCAGGTTTGTGGAGCGGGTTGAGGGTAAATGAATGATTATATACAATTGCAGACGTGGCGTTGGGTTGAAATTGGAGTTCGAGGCCGACGTGGGAGAGTGGAGCAGAATGGTGCGGTTCTTTCGGGTTAATGTCTTTGAGGAGAGTTGGAGTCGGGTTGAAGACGGTGGCAGTGGTCTTCGGTTCCATGGTTCGTCAGTTCTCCAGGAAAGCCACGTAGTCGGTGAGTCTGGCCAACTGCTGCTCATTTGGAACGAGGGACACTGGGGGAGGGTCTGGAGGAGGAAAACAAACAACAGGAGAGGATGAATATGGACACTGCAAAGGGTGATGAAAAATAAGTCAAAAATTGCTGAAATTTGGCAAAATGCTAACCCAAAGGAACAAGCTAAATTACTTTGTTTTAAAAAGATAAAACAAGATTCTCCGATGGGACATTGGACATTTAGTCTGTAAGTCAGAATGGCATATTAATATAAAAAACACTAAATTCAAGCCTTTATTACCACATATTTATCGGAGAAATAAATGTTTCTAGCTTTATGTTGGAGAACCATACACACATTCACACAGACGACTCAAATCAACGCATTTGTGTACAGCCCTAAATCACAACAGTAGTCGTCTCGGAGGACTTTACAAAGTTGTCGAACGGCCAAAGACAGATCAGAGAATCAGATCAAACACAGGAAATGCAATAATAGCAAACACATACTGTAGGAGCTGGTACAACTTGAATTTAGAACATCCTCTTATTATGAACAAGAATTTAAAAAGATTAGAGGTGGTTGGGGCCAGAAGTATAAAAGTCTTTTGTCAAGTTAACTGTATTTGACATGAGTTTGAATTTTACTTTGTAGTAGGTTGGGATTCAACCTAGCCTGGTCGTACCACACAATCGTACAAAATACATTTCGTGCTAAGGTCAGACTTTGCTCCATTGAGCTCCGTTTACAGGTGGGAGGGGTTAACTCCTTTTGCAGATTGAAACTATTGGATCTGAGTTTACCGTGATGTATGTAATGTGCCAGAGTGAGTAGCTAGCATTTAGCCTAGCTTTAGCCATCTCCTTTGCCACTAACGGAGCCTGTGGGGAGTATTGCCACAATCTTTGCCAGCGATTATGTTTGCCAAACATTCATCTTGCTCAGGCTTCAACTTCTTGAACGGATTAATTCCCTATTGTAGCCTTTGCCAAACTACAATGAGCTAATTCGGTGCAAACTCTTGAAGTCACCCACATACACCTAAAACACCCGCCTCCCGCGCTCGCTGATTGGTCGTATGGGATTCAACAAATGTTATTGCAAACACTGGGACTAGACCCAGACAGTAAATGCAGGGAAATGATAACTGACCGGAGTTAACGGATGGCTAAGGCCAGGCTAGATTCAACCATAACTGGGCCAAATATCCATAAGCAATGTATTGGAAGATTGATATTAAAAATAAAATTAACTAACTTCTAATTACACTTAAGTTAGCAATTTAAAACACATACATTTACATGTTTTTTTCTGAGACAAAAGGCTTTAAAATGATGTCCAGCATGCCATAGTAGCCCCTTACCAAGATCATTGAAAATCATTTCAAGGGCCATTCAATATCGTCTCTCGGACCGGATCTGGCACTCGGGCCTGAGTTTGACTAGCCTGGTCTAGTGCATTAGTTCCCTAAGAATATTCAATTTTATTATGTTAAAAAACAAAAAACAAAACGACTCAAAAGCAAAGTATCCCAGTGAAGACGAGGAGGGGACAGAACTGGTCAAACATGTGGACTCCAGATGCTTCAAAAGAGACGATGATTAGAAGCAAAGACGACTGCGCTGAGCCGCTAACGATGAAAATAAATCAAGTTTTTGATATGTTTGGACAGAGAGCCGTGATTACACCAATTATATGAGATGGATTTGACTAATACTGTGCTTCTCCTCTTAGGGTTTTGAATTAAGACAGGAGAGGAGGAGAGAGAGAGGAGACAGGAGAGAGGTAGGAGAGAGACAGGAGAGAGGCAGGAGAGAGAGAGGAGAGAGAGAGGAGAGACAGGAGAGAGGCAGGAGAGGTGGAGAGGAGTGACAGGAAGAGGAGAGCCTAGAGGGGAGAGGAGAGAAAGGAGGGGACAGGAGACGGGAGAAGAGGAGAGACGGGAGAGCAGAAGAGACAGAAGAGACAGGCGGACGAGAGACTGGAGGAGGAACAGGAGAGACTGGAGGATTAGAGAGGATAGGAGAAGAGGAGTGACAGAAGAGGAGGAGACAGGAGAGGAAGAGAGACAGGAGAGGAGGAGAAACAGGAGAGGAGGAGAGACAGGAGAGGAGGAGAGACAGTGTGTAAATAGAAGATTTCAGAGTGAAGTGTTCGATGGGGCGACAGTGCCACCTACCGGGCTTTTTGGGCATTACCATACGAGTGGCCGGGTCAGCCTGCCAGCCCTGGCTCACAACACCTGTGGACACAAAAAGGAAATCAAAAAACATCACAGTTATACACAATTTAATACATATATTTACACATATTTATTATGGAAGCACAGCTGTTTTGGTTAATACATGTAAATAGTATAGATCTCCCTCGTTTAGAAAATGATATCAACCAAACCAACTGGAATTACATAATTGGAAATAAGACATGTGAACAAGCATGTAGTGAGTTAACGATGACCTTACAAAATCTTATACTTAAATATACAAAAAGGAAAAAAAGGAAACCGACGCAGAAGCAGAGTCTGCCTTGGTTTAACGCTGAACTTTGGAAATTAATGAAGAAAAGAGATGCTGCTTTGAAAATGTTTATAAAAAGCAAATTATCAACTAACCACCTGGTCTACAAAAGCCTTCGAAATAAAGTAACGGCACTAATTAGAAAAGCTAAGGCCACATTCTTTCTTAATTTAATTAAGGAAGCAAAAGGAAATAGTAAAGTTTTATGGAGAAATATTGATAAGCTTCTGGGCAAACGCCGGACTTATTGTGATATGCAACTAAAAGTAAATGGTGAGATTCAAAATGATAGTGCTTTTTTGGCAATGCATTTTAATGACTATTTTATTAATTCAGTTCAAAAACTGGTGCAATCATTCGTAGCACCATGTTTTTATAATCAACCCCAAGTCGACGAGGAAGCCCTTTTTAAATTAAAACTCGTAAATGAAGAAAAAGTTATCAAAAGTATCGATAAACTAAATAATAGTAAAGCAAAAGATATCTATGGGATGGACAGTTTGTTTTTAAAAAGACATAAGGACACTATGCCTACCTCTGGCAAAAACTATAAACCAGTCAATAAGTAACAGTACATTTCCGGCTGCGTTGAAACCTGGCATTGTCACACCTGTGTACAAGTCTGGGGACAAACAGGAGGTCAGCAACTACCGCCCCATTAGCATCCTACCCACTATCTCCAAAGTCTTTGAAAAGGTTGTAGCAGAGCAGCTTATTGAACACTTTGACAGCCATTGCTTCTTAAACCCTCTACAATTTGGTTTTAGAAGCAAATACTCCACAGAAGCCGCCTGCTGCTACTTTACTGAAGAGATTAGATCTAGCCTTGATCAAGGAGGAGTGGTGGGGGCGGTGTTCCTCGACCTCTGAAAAGCTTTTGACACAGTCAGTCATGACATCCTCCTGAACAAACTCACTAATTTCCACCTCTCTAACCAGACAGTAAACTGGCTGAAGTCATACCTCAGTGGCAGACAGCAGAGTGTGAGAGTGAACAACACCCTCTCTCCACTCAAAAACTACACCATGGGAGTGCTGCAGGGCTCCATTTTGGGGCCTCTGCTTTTTAGCATTTATATAAATGACCTCCCCTCTGTCTGCACTGCAAATGTCATCATGTATGCTGACGACACAGTGTTGTTTGTTCATGGCAAAAACGAAAGTGATGTGGCCACAAAATTAACAAATGAAATGAAAAATGTTGCTGACTGGCTGTGTCCAAACTGTCTGACATTAAACACAGACAAAACCGTTTCAATGTATTTTACAAACCGAGGTAAGCATATCAGTTGTCCAGATATTTTTTATTAATGGCAGTAAAATTAAAAATGTTGATGTATTCTCATATTTAGGAGTGACCCTGGATCGAAACCTGACCTTCAAACATCATGTAAAGAAACTCCGTAACACTCTTAAGTTTAATTTGGCCAACTTCAGATACATTCGGGGGTCACTCACCGCTGAGGCGTCCCATCTGTATCTGAACTCCATGATCCTGTCACATTGTGTATACTGTGTCTCGAGCTGGTCTCAGGGCTGTAAAACCACTCTGGGACCTGTCGAGTCACTGTACAAGTGTGCCCTTAAGATCCATGATAAGAAGTCCAGGCGGTACCATCACTGTCCCATCCTCTCTAAATATGACTTTCTCAACTTTGAAAACCTAACATTTTACTCCAATGTTTGTTTGCTGTTTAAAATTATCCATGGTGTTAGTGCACCTCCTCTAAGAAAATTTGTTTCATTGAGTGCAGACAAAATTACCAGAACCACTCGATCCACTTCTAGAGGAGAATGCAGCGTCAAAAAATGTAGAACAACTTTTGCTAAATCTGCTTTTTCTGTGACGGCCATGAGTCAGTGGAACACACTGCCCACAGAGATCATTGCGTGTGCTACATTTAAAACATTTTCTTGGCTGACTAAGAAATGGCTTCTGAAAAAGCAAGTTTGCACGCACAAGTGAGTGAGTGTAATATTCTAGTAGAAATTGGGGAGCTTTATTTATTGTTATTAAACTTAATGTTTTGTGAATGATGTTATTTAAAGCCTGTAAATGTAAGACACAGTCATGTATCCATCTACATTGTAATCAGTTTAAATGAACATAACACCAGCCTGCCCAGGGACTACAGGTGGAAATTAGCATCTCTGCTATAACCTGGTACATGCATCTCTCCTTTTGTGTTAATGCTTAACTGTACACTGTCCCTGTTCAAATAAAGTACATACAATACAATAGTAATAGTAGAATTGTAAATGAGGGACTAGGTTGTGTTGTTATGGTAATGATTGAATGCTTGAGCTGTATATACAAGTTTTCGTTCATAAATTCATTCAACATCGACATGCTTTTGTGTTGCTGCTTTTTTAGTCTGTATGTGGCTTTAATAACCTTTTGTTGACGGCTGCAGCTCTAACCTGCCATGGCACTACAGATTTTAGACTGGCCTTCATCGCCAAATCCAGCATATTTACACGGACAAATGTTTATATGCACTGTCCCATTCGAATAAATCAATTGAGCAGAAAACGTTACATTCGTTCCCATTGCAAATAACTTACACATGCAGAGATAAACATGTTCACCATGTGTCGAGGCATTTCCAAATCACCAGCCTGAAATTGAGTGTGGATTAGAATTTTATAGACTCACAGCCCATGTAGATAAACAGATGGAAATGTAGATGTTTGTGTGCAAGTCAAGAGCATCCTCACACAGTAAATTGTTTACATTTTTTAGGCCAAATATTGACACTTGTTCTGTCACCATTGATGCTTGAAACTACTTCTACTTTTCCAGGTTCGTTTGTGTTTATGTAGTTCCTAACATTACCTTTTACTGCCTCTTCCACAGAATAACCCACGAAAGCAGCAAAGTCGTCTGCAGAGATGGACGTGTAGGCCTGGGCCACTAGATTGTACGCTCTTTGCCTCGTTCCTTCTGTGAACACACAACAAAGGACATAAACATCAGCGTAAAATAGAGGATCACTCTCTTTTCTCAGTTGTGGGATAAATGACTCGGGGCTAGTAAAAAAAATAATATATATTTTAGTTATTTATTTAATCACTGTGGCGAGGTCAGCACAAGAGATAATATGGATAACTGTTAACCATAACATTAGAACAAAGTCTTCACATATGTCGATTTGCAGGTAATGAGTCTATATTAGTGGATGAGTCTATGTTTTCTGAAAATGTAGTTCAATAATTAGTTTACTGTATTACTTTAACAGGGATTTTTGCTCCAGATCCAGGAGCTTCCGCCCACTTCACAGCTCTTTCCTCATTTATAAAAGGAAAGTTATTATACATAAAGACATGAGACGAAGGTGCACACATGGAGCAATACATCAGCAATACATTTCAGCTTTATACAAAACAGGTTTCAAATGAACTAGTTCTGAGAGTTGTTGCTCTAGACATGTGTCTGAGTGCAGTGCATGTGACAGACGTAGACTGTATATATTAATGGACAGAGTCACGCCCATCTCCGCCGTTCTAACTAATGGGCCAAAAAATGTGCTCTACTGGAGCAATCCAAAATGGCCGCGAGTGGTCCCGCCCACAAGAAAATTGTGAAAAAACGCATCTGCGCATGCGTCAGCCGGCGCAACTCCATTCATTTGAATGAGAGATTAAAAAAATTCACAGCAAGTAAACTTGAGTGGACCAAAAAAATTCACCCCCCTCAGAATTGACACACATGTGGAACAGAGCTTTGGGCCAAGAGACAACTTTTGGTCCATCCTGTAAAGGTGTTTTTGAGAGGTCTGCCAATGCTATATGTTAGCATTGGCTAATTCTACTTCTGGGTCCACCCCCATCGGCCCGGGGTGGTATTGCAAGCATGTCAGCGCACATCATTTTGGCCACTTTTGAGCTGGGACCCTTCCCCACTGGTGACAGACCATGTTAGCATCATGTACACGTGTACATGTGTGTGCACATATGCATGCATGCACACACACACACACATACACGCACGCACGCAGTCTAAGTTTCTTGCAAACAAAATTTTGGCTGGAGCCTTGGTGGTTCTGTCCAGTGCTTCTGAGGCGAGCCATGACCCACTCTTCCTTATCACTTAAGTGTTAGCGATTTAACCTTAACAATAACATCATCAAGTAAACCATAACTAAATGTCAAAAAGCGTTTCAACAATAGTCCGAGTGGAACTGGTCACTTCTTGCTCCGACTCGCTGCAGTCCATTAGCAGCTTGTGTCACATTCACCCGAGTATCTGCCGACCGGCCGACCCTGTGCTGTGCCTGGGAGATAACCGCCTTCCGCTCTCAGACACTTCCCTCTGTGGCCTTTGGGGACGTGTGGAGCCTAGCAACGCTGCTCTGTGTACCCCCAACACCCGGCCTCCCTCCTGGGCCGCACGTCCAGAAAACAGAGCTAACAATAAACACCGGCGATTAGAGGAGACAGCTGTGCAGGGGAAGGCCAAGCAGAGTCACTGTCGCACTGGGCCGAGACCGAGGCTAAAGTCCCCACAGAGAGGAAAGCTAGAGAAATAAAATTACGTTGCCATGACACTAAACAATAAAAAAGATGCATTTTCTGTGTGAATTTTGATCTTGAGCATATTTTACAAAAGGACCCACAGAATTCTGAAACTACTCAAACTTCCCATTCAAATCTACTGAAAATCACAGAAATCGTCCCAAATTGTTTTAGTTTTTATTCAAAAGAAAGTCATTTACAAGTCATTTACCTTCACTCACTTTAAACAAATTATGGTTATGAGATGATTAGAATGAGCAGTACTTCCAATGTAGAGATACAATTTTGGGTTCTGGGCTTACATGACACTGAAGCTAAAATGTCAGATGGCTACAGAGCTTATACCTACATGAATAAACAATACTTTATAGTAAACAGTCTCAGTAGAGGCAGTTTCTCCACATTTGAGTTTGAGAGATTCTTCCCTAGTCGTCCCACAGCGGGGAAATTTTGGGGTTGCATCACCAGTTACACAACAGAAGGAATGAGGAGCACACAGCAGAAGATAAATCAACTATTTAACAAAAGTTTAAAGTAATAGTAAAATAGTTTAGTATAGCTTATTCTCAAACTATAAATAAAAAAAGATAAAGTGAAAAAATTGGATGTTGTATAAGTATAATCTAGGTTTCATGTCAAAAAGCACAAACTTTAATACATTAGAATAAAAGTATGTCTGCATGTTGACTTCCTCAGACACTTGAGCTAAAAATACTGAGCATTTGATCTGACCCCGTTTAATCCAAGTGTTACAGCGACTGCAGCCGGCTGCTTTGCTCATCAAAACAAAATTAATGTCTAGGTCATAATGAATTCCTTTCAGTGCAGCATTTTTACATGACTACTGTAAAATAATAAAACACAGAATGGAGAGTCCGGGTTTAAGGGTCTATTAGGATTAAGACAAGCTCCTTTATGGGTCTGACAGAGGGGAAATGTCAGTGTTGCATCAGCAGTTACAGAACAGTGGGAATAAGTGAAGTCATACTAAATAAAGAAAAATAGAATCTCTAACTTTAGCATGAAAAAAGCAGTACATCATCTATAGCTTTATCATAATGAAGTAGTATAAATTATCTTTGGTATAACAAAGCAAGAATAAAATAGTGTATATTCTAGTGCAAAAAATTTAAGATGAGATAAAATATTCCTTTATTTGTCTCTCTCAGTGTCATGGTTGCGCACATTACAGCAGAGAAAGAAGGAAATAAGAGCATGTATTTCTATTATAATCTTAATCTATAAATTACACCTATTATACTTCTACAAGAATGTCAAAGTATTGTACACCTACAGTAGTTAAAGTGGTAAAATGAACATTCAGTTTATGCCTCATTAAGTATTTAAGGGCAAAGACGTATTTAGAAAGAAAGTCACCTGTGATTACCTTAACACCAACTCAATCAAACAATAGATTATAGACGTTATATAAATAGGTTCTTTTATGAAGTGGGAGACATGGAGAAGGCCGCGGGGCTCTGCTGCTGAGGGACACGACCAATAAACACCAGGTTGCCTGAAGAGGGAGTTTGCCAAATACCAAGACTGTATTTTTACCGTGTCCCTTTGACCATCCTGAGACGCAAAAGGAGAAGTCGTGTGACAACTGCAACCCCTGCTGAGCCAGGCCCAGGCAAAGGCGAGGGGGTTTATGGAGCAGAAACCAGAGCCGCTGTGGCCTTCCATGACAAGTCTATTCCCGGGTCGCTATCATTTGGTACCGCCTCACCTCTCCAAAATAGCCCCTGCTCTTCACCAGCAAAGGCAAAGCAGACAGGACACGGCAAGGACTTTTATTTTAAGTGCACTCTATCACCAAGTGGCTGTCAACGGCCTGGACACACAGAAGCCTGTTTCACCTTTAGAAATAAAACTCAAATCATGTCATCTTTCATGCAGCTTTATTCCTGTTCAGACCAACTTCAATTGAATAAAAAAAACTACAATCAGTGAAAAATGCAGCCTCCTTTGGAGGTCCACATATGAACATGTGCAGATGTATAGGAGACAATTCTATCTTTATCACACAGCAGCTTTTTGTCACAAGTACAAAAGTATAAAAAATTAAGAAAGTGTCAGAGTATAACACTTAACTTATTATTGCACTAACAGAGGGCGCTCTCCTGTGACCAGAAGCCTCTGAACTTGATCATTCCTCAAAATGTAAAATGTCCCTGCCATACCACATCAGTAACAAACTTTCAAATACACTTTCTCAAATATTGTCCATAACTTAAGTCCATCTCCTAAATTCAAGTGTTTCTATTACTCTTCCTCTTCCTCATCCTCGGCATCCTCAAACTCGTCGTCGTCAACGACCCCAAAGTCCATTTTGGCCAGCACCGCCTGCACGTTGTCTGTGGAGAGGGTGAAGTGGTCCATCTTCTCGAAGCCGGGCTCAGGCCGGTCCTCTCCCAGAGAGCTCTTGGTTGCGTCTTTGGTCTGTGAGATGAGCTTCTTGGAGGCCACCAGGAACTCTGCGGCGCTGCTCTGCTCCAGAGCCCTGACGGCGGAGTCGGTGAGCTCGGTGCTGGCCTGTAGCCGCTCCCCGTACCTCTGGGCCAGAGCCCTGAGCGCTGCCACCTTCTCATCCTGCTCTTTACTGATCTGATCCAGCAGCACAGACTTCCTGTCCTCCAGGACAGCGTAGAGCAGGTCGAAGCGCTCGGCCAGGCTCTGCTTGGCGCGCTGGGCGTTGTCCTCCACCACACGACACGTCTCGTCCATCTGGTTGAGCAGCGCTTGCAGACGGGCATTGCTGGCCACCAGAGTGTCGATGGCGTTGCTCAGGTCTCCCTTCTGGGTCTGGTAGATGGAAGCTAAGGGCGCCACCTCACAGTCCTTGTGCTGCCCGAACACCTTACACATGGAGCAGGTGGGCTCCTGGTGGGTCACGCAGTAGATGTTTATCTTCTCATCCTCGTGTTCTTGACACATCAGCTCTTTAGACTCTTTGGGCTTCAAGTTTGTTTCTGTGTTTGTGTTGCCGGTGCCTTCCTGCTGCTGTTTGTAGATGTCGATGATATTTTCCACCAGAAGGTTTCTCTGAAGGCCATGTACTCCGTGGCGGTCCAGCACCACCTCGAAGCGGCAGGTGGGGCATCTGAAGACTCCCCCAGAAAAGCGGTAGGGGTTTCGGGAGTCGTAGAGGTCGCTGGCGCAGCTTCGGCACAGGTTGTGCTGGCAGGGCAGGATGACCACAGGTTTGGTAAACATGTCCAGGCAGATGGGGCAGCTCAGCTGCTTCTCCAGGCTGTCCATGGGGCTGGGAGGCCTCACGATAGAGCCTGATCTCTGGACGTCCATGGTGAAGAGATTCCCGTGTGCTCCTCTGTGGCTGGGTGCTTTCTGAATGTCCACAAGTGAAAAGGTCCAAGGATCTTTGTCCCCTCTGGGCTGTTGGGTTGCTGGGTTCTATAAATAGACAGCTATGCTGGAGGCTGATCCTTTAGGGCTTGCTAGTGCCTGACAAAGTTTGAAGCGGTTCTGGGTGAGCGCGAGCAGCTCAGAGCTTTATAGAGGCCTCACAGCTGTGACACCTGATCTGTGGCAGGCCGGGGCACACATTCCTCCAGCCTCAGCCTCTGTTCACAGAAGCCCCTTCCTGCAACGTCACATGTCTCAGGGAGTCTGTGGCTCATCAGAAAGTGTGGGACAAACAGGTCCATGTGACCAGGGAGTACAGCTCACACTGTCAACAACTCATGTCAGAGTGATGCAACTGCGTTATGTACATCTCCTTCTAGTAACTTGTTTTTATTTACTCAGCCTCACATTGACTACAGACCATGAGAAGCCTTGACCTCAATAACTCTGAAATATTATACAATAGTAATATAACAATAATAAATAAATACAATACACTTTCACTTTGAGAATTCTTTGGTTTGTTAACTTGACAAAGCATTTGTGCCATTATTTTGAACATGGAACTTCATTGAGCAAAGCAAGGTCTGGGTTTGAAGATGCAACCTGTGTATTGTTTGGCTGCATATGTTTGTACTTTCCCCAGATTAAATATCCCAGAGATGACATAATTTTTGTCCTAAGTCTTAGTTCTGAATGAGTTGGTGTGACCTGAGTGTCAGAGGCTTCAGGCTGAACAGCAGTAAACATGATCTATTCTTACACCGTTTCACAACCGCCTTTTTCCCAGAACCAACACAAACCTGTGCGTCTGAATGTCCCGGGAACATCTCTCTCTATGAACACAACGGTCAACAAGCTGTGTTCTTCTGATCAGGTCAAACAGGTTTCATTTCAACATGGTGCAAATTTACCTTCAATCCAATCAATATTTCAGACCTTTTTACATTTCCTTAATTGTCTTGGAAATACGTTAATTGTTGTATTTTCTTCTAAATCAAGGACCCAATGTGACTCTTCAATTTCTAATAATCTTTATCATGGCCTGGATAGAAAATACACAACATTGTAAAGCACGATCTTACTCTGTGAAATGTGTTATATGCAAACAGATTTAGATTAGTACAGTATTTTTTTCCGGTTTATACATCTCAGTTTTGTCATAGTTGGGTCTGGGATGTGATTTATACACTGGAGCGTCTTATGCGTGAAATTATTATACCATATTTTATTTACCGTAAAATATCAGATAATAGCCTGGGCTATTAAGTTGAGCGATTACGCTATTAAAAATGTTTTTTTCCTTCTTTATTATGCATTTTTAGTTGGTGGGACTTTAGCTCCGGAGCGATTAATAATCCTTAAAATATGGTTTTCAACTCAATTTAATTTATATTTTGTTTAGCCCTAAATCACAACATCACAAATGGCCAACGACAGATCAGAGAATAAAACAGTTGCAACACAGGAAATGCAACAATTAAAAATAAACAGCTGTTGGTCCATAGGGAGCGGGACGACCACTGACCATGAATTCTAATAAATGTCTTTGTTCATTTGTTCTATTTATGAAGTCAAACATGTATTAACATTAGTAGACATTGGTCATCCCTCTCCCTATGGACCAGTGGCTCTTATGTGCCGTTTTCTTTAAATTGAATGTCCTTATTATTGCTCCGCTATTGTTGCATTTCTCTTGAGACGAGTGCTGTTGTGATTTAGGGATTTAAAAAAAATAGACATGTAACGAGAAATGAATGAATAAATGCTTTTCTAATATCCCACTGAAATGATGTATTAAGAAGAGTAAAGAAATTGAACTCATAATTCTAAATTTGCTATACACTCCAACTTTGGACATTTAAAAAATATGTAGTTCTTAGAGGAATTTTGGTCACACTTACAGTAAGTTTATCCCTCACTAATGAACAGACAAGTTCTGATTTGTGTATACTTCCTGGTTGATTGGCATTCATTAAGCACTTATTAGTCCGTATTCTACATGGCCTTATTCAACATCTAACTAACTACTAACTGAAACTTTGCTGTGTGGGTCAGAGTCAGGGGACACAGGTTATCTCATCCTTCATACTAAACTATAATCCCTGACACCACTCTTCCCACACGCTGAATCAGATTAATAGCATTAGCACAAGATGATGAATAGCCGTTACCTCGTAGCGCCTCCATCACTGGGAGGATATTCTCTGACCATTGATGTGCTGCGATGGCTGTGTAAATCCCCGGGAAGTCTCTCTGCCAAATGTGCTGGCCCACCGCCCAAATGGCCGCCAGCTCGGGGTTCGCCTGGACACGACAACAGGGAAGAACTTCAGCGTCTCTCAGGGTAAGAACGAACAACTGTGTGTTTTTGACTAGCCATGTAGCAAAACAATGAATGACCAGGGGCCTCATTAACCAAGATGTTTCCATTAAAAGAGTCAGCATGCGAAGCCAAAATCTCTTTAAGCTAGATCACGTTTTGTTTATTTCCCCATCTGCGACATTAGGAATAAATCTGTACGGTAAGATGTATTCTAATAGATCATAATATCATACTATTTTGTAAATAAGCACACTTAAAGACGTGGTTCTCCACGTATAAATGTACGTGTATAAAAATGTATTGTAAATATCTGTTTTGTATGCAAAAACACAATATTTGCTACGTTTAATAAATGTCTGAGCAAAACGGTCACCCGTACTTTTAAAACAAAGCAGTAAATCATAGCAGCAGATATGACTTCTTCATGCTTATGGAAGAGTTCACATTTCACACTCACTGATTTTATTGCTTGAGGAATCCTTTTCCATAGGTACCTTGCGTTATTCCTGTAAAATAAGACATTGATTAAGACAAATAGAATTGAGTTACAGTAATGGTCTTAATAAAGCGTAGTTATGTTTTGTATCTTTACCTCTAGGCTCTATCTGGTGTTTTTTTATATTTTGCTATGTTGGTTCACTTAAAGGTCCTATATCACGCTTTTCTTCATGTTTCACACTCAATCCTATACACATGTGTGATATTAATGTGTATGATACACCACACAACAATCAAAGCTTGTGAGATTAGAGCCATCTCTTGTATAGAGGTGACGTCACCTCGACTCAAACGAGCTGATCCAGAGAAGAGTCTGCTCCTCTGCCTGTGAGCCCGCCTCCCCCCGCCCGTACGGTGACGTAGCATCACGCTTTTGTCGTTTATCACCTGTACTTAGTAATTTCATACATAAGAATAAACTTTTTCCAACAATGACAATCCGTCACATCGAGCCCTATGTCCTCGATGCACAATCAGACCCTAGTTATTTAGTTTACAGAAGTATACAGCGAGTTAGCGTCACTACTTACAGATCGAGGGGGTCCGAGTTTCGTCTTTTACCGTGGGAATAACGTGTTTCCAGATCAGCTTTTGAGTAAGTCCAGTTCCATTGTCCCTGTAGTTCTGGAACAGTCTCAGTGAAGTGTCGCAGATGAACCGGTTTATAATAGATCCATGAGATGAACAGATGAAAAAAGTCGAGCCGCTTTCTTCCTCTTCGGGCCAAATAGTGTGTCACATATTTACACCCATAACACACTTCATTCAAGTTGACGTGATCCTAACACTTTTAGTTGCTGACAAAAGCATAAAAACAGCAGAGCCTGTGCGCTCTGATTCGCTGTTTTGATCCGTCAATCACCTCCCGCCGGCTTTTAATTTATTTTTATTATTTTTGACAAAAAACAGCATACTAATTGTGTATTGTTTACCCCGTTTTGACAAAAGTATTTAACAACTATTTTAAATACAAAGCAAAAGGGGTCATGCGCGTCATGCGCGTCATCAGTGTGGTTTTCGTCACTGAAGTGGACCCGAGCGTTTCTGTGCCTCACGCTGGGGAAGGAGACAGATTGCTCTCTTACAAAAGATTGACAGAATCAATGAATAAACTACTGTGGGCTTGTGTATGAAGGCCAAATAGCACTGTAATCATGTTTAAAGCAGAGAAAAGTCAAAAACCGTGATATGGGCCCTTTAAATGTATAATGGAACCCAACCTAAGTATATGAGCATTTTCCCATATGAACAAAACAATCTGGTCTTGACAAGCACGTATCACCAGAATGATTGACAGAAGGACCGAGTCTTAGGGATCCACCCAGAAGTAGAAAATCCTTCTATATACCAAAGAAACACATTTCTAGGAACGCTTTGCCATTGCTGACCTTGTGTGCTCCTATTCTGCAATACCTCATGCGCTAGTCACACTGAAGTACCTGCATTTATCAGCTGTTTAAATTCAAGGCACACTTCCACACTGCCTATAAATACACAATGTCTGACAGGACAATATGAATGGCATTATATCACACATCAGACACGATGACACATAAAATAAACCCCTCTTGTGTCGAATGCATGAATAAGTGTCTGATGAAAAGAGAAATGCGTTGGGACTGATGCAACTGCACAGACTTACATGTCATTGTGCAGTAAATATAGTGCCAGCAGCTGAGCGTAAACTTGAGGTGTTGCGATGCCCCCTGGCGCCTGTCAAGGGAAACACAGTCAATAAGCATTAGGACTACGCCAATAATCAAGGTAATTTTTAAAGTCACAGCTTTTTTCATCAAAAGAATGCAAAAAAAAAATAAAAATATCCGTTAAATATGTTAGCAAAATATAAAAGCCACTCTGTGTGGACAACTATGCATTTCATATGATACATCTCTGGCATTCAAACTTGTTAATAAACGTGTATTTAACGTTGCACGTGTTTTCATTTGCTACAGTATGACTAGGAACCAAGTAAACATTGACACTAAATCACATTGACTCTCTAACACAATGGAAAAAATGCATATTGCAGTGTTAATTCTGTTGTGTTATGCTATGAGCTAACAAGCTAGCTTAGCACACCCAGTAAAACTATCATCTGTTCGTGTTTTTTGCTAATTCTTTTGAAATAACCAGTCATGACATTTATGCATGGTTGAGACACCAGAACGGAAGGAACGGTGTGAATGAAAATCTCAAAACAGCCTAGAAATAGTCACTAATCCCATTAGCGTTGCCCCGACAGGCTAATGCTAGCTAGCTGTCACAACAACACTGAAAGACACGGGGCAACAGCAAAGACAAGCTACAAATGATAAATGATCAGTATTTAAAGATCTAACTGTGGCGTTACCTCCAGCTCCTGGGATTCACATTGTTCCAGGAGTTTGTCGTAGTTTTCCTCCATCATGACAGCTGTAGGCATGGTGACGATGCCCAGCCGCTGCAGAGAGCCTCCACTTCCGCCTCATGGAAACCTCGCTTGGGCCACGCTGCCCCTAGTGGCTGAGGAACACACTGCAGCACGTATGTGTGTTGTGACTACAGTCTATGGTTATTACTCTGTGAGGATAGATAATTACCCATTCATTTGAAAAGTCCACCTTGTGGACTGACCACCGACAGGAGGAGCAGGAGGATCATTGAGGGGCTGGAGGAGAAGCAGGAGCAGGAGGAGCAGGAAGAGCAGCAAGAGCTGTGAGGACCAGGAGGATTTATTTATTTATTTATTTATTTAAGGATAGCCCCATTGAGATAAACAATCTATTTTTCAAGGGGGTCCTTTATCAAAGAAAATTAAAAAGCAAAAAGCAACACAAAGACATGTAACAAGCGTCACTCAAAGATAAATTATTAACAATTATATATATACACATATACTTACATACACACACATATAGTATATACATATATATAAATATACATACATACATACATACATACAAACACACATATACATATATACACACCTACACATATACATACATATATACACACACATACACATACATTCATACATATACAATCATATACACATACATACATTAGTATATTGTATTTCATACACACACAACACGCACATACACACACACACACAGCCACGTATCTTAATCCCAGAACCACGCATTTCACTCCGAATATCTTCATATACACATGTGCATATACACACACAAACACATATATACATAATTATGTATTGAAGCCAATAATTCCCTTTGGCTGGCGTGTCCACAATTTGATACAGAAATCAGACAAAAAGATTCTCCAAGTTTAACATCTGCATTTAATTATCTTTACAATCAGATACAGAATATTCAACAAAAGAGCTCCTATTCTATGCCTGCTCTATCCCTGTGCGTTGCCCCTGTCCTGTCTGACCTCAAAACCCTCCGAGGGCACATATACGGGAGACTTCTGATGACGTCATCCATACGCGTCCAAGGGTGGGGCTTTCCGGGTGTGCTGACGTCCCTTGTCCACTGGGAGGCGTTAGAATGCTGTTGGTGAATTCCCTCTCCGCCTGATGGTGAGGGACTTTTGCTCTGTCAGCAGATAATGTTTATTATCGAACGTTAATAATTCGCCTTGTTCAAAGACGATATCTTTTTATAATTCCCGTCTGCTTATCCTGTGTCCTTGTGACTTAATCCCTGAGGGCACAGGTCTTTTTGCTTGGGAAAGAGACAAGAGTTCAATTCCGGGTCAATCAAATTCACATCTGCCTTTAGTCTATATTTAAAATATACAACAGTTCACATACACATACACACATTATTACCAGGAGTTTAATCTTAATATTTAAGCTCTCCGCGTGCTGTATAAAGGGGGCTCACTCATTCACAATTTACAATGTTTTAGAGCATTTTATATGGTCAGAAATTAGCATATACATGGTTTATTTAAATAGTCGTGCAATAGTGATCTATATAAATGAACAGATGTTGCTGCCCGAAGTTCAACTGGAAGATTATTCCAGTCATATGGGGCTTTACAACAAAACGCATTTTTGCCGACCTCCCTCTTCACCAGAGGAACTCTGAAATAGGGATGGAGTAAGTTTCGAAGAGAATGCTGAGATGTGAATGGAATAAAATATTGTTTTAAATAATCAGGAAGGTCATTATGGATACATTTTTTTTTTTTTTTTGTGATCAAATTTTTATTGGGTTGTGCGGGTTATAAGTTTTACATAACAATTTCATATGCAGCACAGATTTTTTTTTAATATTTTTTCCCCCCCTCACCCTTTGTGATAATGGGTCTTTTAGTATGAGCAGAAATGCACAATACATGTTCATATGAATTTTAAGGAAATAAAGATACAGTAAAACAATACCACACTTAGATACTGCACACTCACACACTCACTCACACCCCCATGTCCCACCCCTACTGTCCAGGCATGGTAACAAAAAAAAAAAAAAGGCAAAAAGCAAACAACACAAGTCTTGGTAGTCAAGAGTGATAGACAGAACAAACATATTTGCTAATTTCCTCCGTCAGTGACATCTACAGAAATAGCTTTGGATACATATAGTTATGTAACATTTACACTGTATTTGGAATACATATCGTTATGTACTGTACATTCATAGTTATTACGTACAATCAAAGCATTTGCAATCAAGTTTCACACAGTAGCTGCATTTTATGTAACAGATTTGACCAACATGAGATATTTTCGCTTTTGGCGCCGTGGATCCGAGCTGCTGAAAGCTCCATCTGGACAATGTCTTTAAATGATGAGAGCCATTGCTCCACACTCAGGGTTTGTCTAAGTTTCCATCGACATGCTATCATCTTTTTAGCAGCTGTGAGACCAGCTAGAATTTGGCGGCGTTCATTAATATTTAATTTAAGATTGGAAGTCTCATTCAGTAAGAGTAACCTCTGAGTGTAGGGCAATTCTCTTTCCATTAGGTTTGACAGAGCACCAGCAACATTTTCCCAAAAACAGTGAACCTGGGGGCACTCCCATACCATGTGAAGAAAAGTCCCAATGACCTTGTCTGAACAGAAGTCACAATAAGGATTGTCCTTAAGTTTCATCAGGTGCAATCTCCTAGGATAGAGATAAGCCCTATGAATGAACTTGTAGTGGATCATTTGGTGGTTTGGGTTTCTCGAAGACAGAGATACATTGGACCAAATATTTGTCCAGTTCCACTCAGAATGATCTTTTAGCTCTGTTTTCCAGAAGTGTTCAATAGGCAATTGTTTGTAAGAGGCTTTAGTGACAAGTATATAGAGATCTGAAACAAGGCCATTGTTTTTTTCCTTACACAAAGTGGTATGGAGGGGATGATTTTCTAAGCGACATCCCCATGGGACGCCATGGGCACGCATCGCTGCTCGTATTTGCAAGTAAAAAAAAAATGACGTTGCAGGTAATTTTGATTTTCCTGCAGGTCTTTGAATTCTCTTAGTCCGTTTTGGTCTGTTATTTTCCCGAGCGTGTGGACCCCTTGGCGTTCCCATGGAGAGAAGGAGGCTATTTTTTTGCCTATTAGCAATGCATAATTATGGAAAATTGGAGATTGTTGATAATAATTGTTTTTTATTTTCATGAATTTATTGACTTTATACCAAACGGAGATGAGATGAGAGATAATTGGACCACATTTGTTTTTTACTATCTTTAGTGGTATATTAGAGTATAAAAAGCATGACATGTCATGGGGCTTAAGTAACTGTTCTTCGATTGGTTTCCATGATGTGAGTATGTCTGGTTTTAACCAAAGAGAAAGTGAACGTAGGGCAAAACACCATGAATACCATTCGAAGTTTGGGAGGTTAATGCCACCTGATGATTTAAGCCGGTATAATGTTGAGGTTTTTATTCTTGGTTTTTTCCAATTCCATAAGTAGGAACCTATGATGGCATGTAGTTTTTTCCAATATCCTTTTGGAGGGGCCAAATGGAGCATGGAGTTAAAGAAATTAATGCGCGGTAGAACATTCATTTTTATGATAGAAAGGCGAGATTGAAAGGATATTGGGAGTGAGCCCCATCTATTTAGGTCGTTTGTAATAGAATGCAATGTTTTATTATAATTATTGTTGATTAAAGTGTTCACTGCCGGGTATATGGAGATGCCCAGATACTTGAAACTTTCAACCACGGGAATATTAAAAGATTCCAAGTTGGTTGTGGTTTTATTCAATGGCATAACTGCTGATTTTGTCCAATTCACCTTATAACCTGACATTTTTCCGAACTGTTCGAAAGATTGAAGAAGGAATGGTATTGATATGTGTGGATTGCTTGTATAAATTAAAATGTCGTCGGCGTAAAGGGAAATATAATGGGGGGTGTTGTGGACCATTATTGGTGCCAGATTTTCTGATTGCCTGATAAATTGAGCAATGGGCTCCAGCGATAGGCAGAATAGGAACGGAGACAGTGGGCAGCCTTGTCTAGAGGAGCGAGATACTTTAAATCTAGAGGAGCAGGTATTGCCTGTTATCACTACTGCTGTGGGGTTGGCGTATAATGTCTTAATCATAGAGATTAACCCCTCGCTGAAGCCCATATGCTGAAGTACTGACCACAAATACTCCCACTCTAGGCGGTCGAACGCTTTCTCTGCATCAAGCGAGAGAATTGCGTTTGACGCTGTGGACTTGGAAGATGAATCTAAAATATGGAGTAACCGGCGCGCGTTATCAGAGGCCAAACGTGACTTTATGAACCCTGTTTGGTCGTGATGTACAAGACTTGTCATGATGTGCTCTAATCTCATTGTCAAAACTTTGGCATAGGCTTTAAGTTCAGTGTTCAAGAGGCTCAAGGGTCGGTAGGAGGCACATTCGGTAGGCGGCTTGTCTTTCTTTAACAGTAAGGTTATGATAGCTACATTGCTGCTGTCTGTAAAGGAACCTTGGGAGATTGAAAAATTAATCATATCTAGAAGAAGTGGGCCAAGCTGAGACCAGAAAACTGAATATAGCTCTGGAGGAATACCATCCAGACCCGGGGACTTGCCTTTATTCATGCAGTTTATTGCTTGGGTTAATTCTTTTAAGGTGATTGGCTTTTCGAGTAAGCTAGCGCTTTCAGATGAGATTTTAGGTAAGTGGAGGGAGTTTAGAAAGTTACAGCAGGTTTCGCTGTTGTAGGTGGCTTCTGAGGCATAACGTTTTTGATAGAATTTTTTAAACGTGTTATTTATGCCGGCGGGGTCAGAAGTTATAGTGCCCTCCTCTGTCGTGACTGCAGGTATATTTGCAAGCTGCTCACTGTTTCTGATTTTAAGGGCTAAGAGGCGGCTTGGTCGGGCATCGTTTAAATAATGCTTTTGGCGAGTGCGATGAATCTGAAATTCAGCTTTCTGTCTCAGCAATTGATTCAATTCCTCTAATAATTCCTGACGTTTTATAGTGTTTTCGGGTGTTGGTTGAATTAGCATTTGTTGTTCTGTTCGA